ATCCCCACCCATATCTGGGGCACATGCCCCTCATACCCTCCTGGACCAGCAGGGCACAGCAGAGGGAGACACCTTCCCCTGCACCCTCCCCTTGCGTGCTTTACAGCGCCTGTCCCAGTCCCAGCCCCAGTCCCTCCCTTGCTGCAGGGACATTGATCTGCCCCCCCTGCCACACCCCACCACAACAGACTTACCACCTGGAGGCAGCTGTGTCCAGCATCATAAAGTTGAAACCCCGTCAGAACCTTGAAACAGTGTTGTAATTTACAAAGGTTGTAAGTGCTGTTTGTCATAACTCGAACGGTCTTAAGTTGAGGACTGCCTGTAGTGTGTTAGCTGCTGTATGGCTTGCAGTCCTACTCTAATTTAATTTAAAAGAAAACAGTCTTGCTAATACATGTTCAAACATTTTTATTTGTAAAGTGCAGAAGAGGCAGAGAATCTGAGTAGCAAGCTGGTTTTTTATATTCCAAGACAGACAAGAGAGGTTAGTTTTGATGTTCAGGTTCTAATTTTATTCCCCTCCTTGATGATGTAGTCCGTAGAAGAGACAGGGCAGTACTGTGTGGAACAAGGACTACCCTTCCCTGAAATCATACTGACTGAAGAAGACAAGAAGAATCCAAAGGAGTGCTATGTGTTTGTGGATGATGAGAATCCAGAGGTTCCCATTGTCCTTTTCTTCCCACTGGTGAACAACACTTTTAAAGAGTACAAGGCACCTGGTGAGTGACTGACTTTCCACAGGTACTTATCATATTTCATTTCAGCCTGACATCCCATAATAGGGTTTGTAGGTAATTACTGTAGCTCAGAATCATGAACCCTTTGCCCCATGCCAGAAAATAAAAACCCATGGCTGACAGAAGGTGTAAATACATTCTGTGGTGTAACACAATTTTTATCTCATCTTCATCAATGGAAGTTTGCTTAAGTGTTGATTTATCAGGCATTGGTATGATCTGTAGGGTTGTGTTTAGCTTCGGTCCCTAATTCAATCTGGTGGCAATTCTGCCCAATTCGGTGGCTGAATTTCCGAATCCGAATTGAATCAGAAAGGTTTGGAAAGATTTGGTGATTCGGACATAGACACAGCTTTAAATATTTTTTCTATATACCTCAAGGTACCAGGCAGCTTGTCAAAGCTGTGATGCTGGGGTGGATGGAGCGTCTCACAGGAGTGGAGGGGGCTCCACAGCGCACTTGGCAGCAGACCCAGAAGTGGACCAGAAGCACGTCTGGTCCAGACCTGGAAGTGAACTGGAAGTACTTCTGGTCCTCTTTCAGCTTTGCCGCCAAGCACACAGGGGTTATGTACCTGGTACCTCGAGGTATGTAGAAAAAACATTTAAAGCTGTGCCAAATCACTGATTCTCTGAATCAGCATGAAATCTTCAGATTTGGATTTGGCTGAATTGAATCTGGGACAGTGATCTGAATCAACGAATTGAATCACTGCCCCCAATTTGGGTCAAATCTGAATCGAATATGGCCTGTTTTGCACACCCCTAATGATCAGATGTGTTGCATATGTGCTACAAGCCTCAGTTTTTCTCTAGTTTGATGATTTCAGTATCAAACGCTACATAAAAGAAACAGTTTTTATGGGACAAAACCTCGCAATGTAAGCAGAAGTCGGATCTTTCTAAATCTTGCTGGTGAAATAAGTTTGTGCTTTGTTGCAAGAAAAATCCTTGATTTTGGGCTGGTTACAACAAAAGCCCTTGATTTTGGCTGCATTGTGGTGAAAAAGCTGCTAATGCTGTTTTCATTGCCCTACAAGTTGCTAACAGTGCTCTTCGATGTCCTCTTGCTGCTTCTGATGCTGAGTGAATGATTTTAGATGGTGTTGGGGTAGTGGTTTCACAGCAAGTGCTCACAGAATGCGGTGAAGATAGTTGAACTTGTTCCAAAGAGCCTCTTCTAACAGTCAGGGCTAAAGCAGAAGCATATTTCTTTTACTTCATGATGTTCTACTGGAGGAAAGTCATGCCCTAAGTGTTTAGGTAACAGCATGAAAGGATGGAAGGGGGTGTTGTGACACAGTCACATACCTTAATTCAGCTTCCCATCTCCTGGCAACCTCTAGGCTGAGCTCCTGATATTTTATTGTTGTTGTTGCAGGAGTGAAACGCAGCCCGGCAGAGATGGAAAAAGGTGATATAGATTTTGTCAGCTCCACGTCACCTTATAAACTGGAAAATCTGACCTAGAGCAAGGATGACTTTGACAAACTGCTAATGGTCACTGAGTACAATGTCCAAAATAACAAAGACTTGATGCTGCAAGCTTTTCACAAAGCTGTAGAAAGGAGAAAACATCAACAGAGTTAATTCACCTTGGTGGAATTACTGGATTAATATCAATTTTCACTCTGGCCTCTGTGTGAATCTTGGTAATGCTTAAAGATATGGCTTCTGCAGTAATGCCAGTAATGAACCAGTAGACTGAGGACATACACTAATGTATGCATAGCAGAAGTAGGCAGGCCACAGGCCTAAATACAGCTTAAGTAGGTGACAGCAAGTGTCCGTAAATCAGATAATTTATCCATAAGTGATTAACAAATATCTGTCAGTTGACTTGTATAAAGTAAAAAACCATAAACATGGATCATTAATGTTCTAGGGCAGGGCTGTCCAACTGATGGTTCACGAGCTCATGGCCTGTGGGCTCCTGTCACTTTTTCTTCCCCCCAGCAATTGCCGCCTCCCTAAGTCACCTGCTCCTACTGCTGCTGTTGTCACCACCTTCCTTCTAGGCTGCTACTTCCTGCTGTTGCCTCTGTGCATGGTGCAGCCTGTAGCCACTTAGAACTTGGATGGCCCTGTCCTGTAGTTTCAGACAATACATATATAGTCGCAATGCATAATACATTGTAATTGAATGAATTAAATGCTAATGATTAAGTAAGATGGATCACTAACCTGTCAGAATTAGAGACCCCAAAAGAAATAGACTGTGAAATCTAACGCAACAGGGAAATTTTCCCAGTATAATTATTCATAAGCCAAATAGATGTTATGATAATTCAGTGTCAGTAATGCTCCATGAAATAGTGCCACGGGGAGAGAAGTAAAACAGTATCATGGCCTTCTGTTAGTCTGTGAAACACCAACCTCCTCCAGGCCTCCTCACATTGGATTCTATATGTAATGGAAATGCTAGTTGGTTCTATTCTGCTTCTCTCTCCCTTGCTTAATTACAGTTGTCATGCTTTATTTGGGCTTGTTAATAAATGTGTGATCTCACTTGTGCAACTCAATATGCCCTACCTAATGACAACATACTTACTGAAGCAGCTAATCTGGAGTGCTGATCACTACATGCTAATCTCTAGTTAATGGAAACCTAATTGGTACAAGTAATTCAAATCAGGGGTTAGTTACAAAGTACAAGGGCCTACATTTTCCGCCAGCACCCAGATGACAGGGGCCACTGTGATTTGTCCAGCTTTGAACAATCTAATAGAATATTTTTTGGTCGCTGTTTATATTACAAACATTGCTTTCCTATTTAATATATTCTAATTTTAAAATTTATTTTATTAAAAGAGGATCATTTTACAGAATTGTAGAGTGGGCAGGACTGTGACCTCTGATTGATTGGTTCCTGGTTCTTTTGAAAGGCAGTGTTGTCTACAGCAGTGTTTCTCAAGCCATGGGTCATGACCCAAAAGTGGGTTGCAAGAATATTTGAAAGGAACATGAACAACCACAGAAAAATGTGGGAAAGCACAGGTTTCCTCTTTGCAGCCTGGCAGACTTCCAGCCTGCAAGGGGCAGCTTGGGGCTGGAGGGAGCAGAAGGAAGGTAATCAGGCATGGGGTGCAACATGCATGTGCGTGTGCATACATGCATGTGGCAGCCAGGCAGGGTGCAGAGCAGCTCCCGCAGTTCCCCTCAGGTAAGTCTATGGGGTGGGGGGGCATAGATGATGTGTCAGCGGTCGAGAGGGCACAGGCTACATGTCAGGGGTAGGGGGCATATACCAACCGACATTTATGTGCCCATAGTGGGCACAGGGCTGCCGCCTGGCCCGGTATGGGTAGGAACTGCCTGCTGCTGCCACTTCCATGTACCCCGCACCAACTGCAGAGCCAGCAGCACAAGGAGTAATGGATGTGGGGGACCACACTGTCCTCACCTCCTGCTGCCAACCGCTCATATGCTGGGCTGTGGCTCTACCCCACTGCCACGGCCTGGCTGCCTGTGCTTCTCACCACCCCACCTCCCCTTGGAGTAGAACCATGGCTTGAGGGGAACAACAGTGGCCAGGCCATGGCATGGGCTAGAGCCATGGCCCAGAATGCAAGCGGTTGGCCACAGGAGGAAGTGAGTGCATCGTGGACCACCCCCACCCATACTCTTGGTGCTGCTGGTATCATGGTTGGTGTGGGGTTCATGGTGGTGGCAGCTGCAGCAACGAGTCTCATTGCCCCACTCTACCCTCTTGCACTGGGACCCACCCTCTGGTCCAGCCAGGCTGCAGCCCTGTGTCTACTGTGGGCTCACAAATCTGGGGGGCCATGTGCTCCCCCATGCCACACATCCACCCCCAGCCCCAGACACTGGTGGTGGGGGGCAGTGGGTTGGGAGTGAGGGGCAGCAGCAGGGCTGGGGGCTGGGGGGCTGTTAGTTGGGAGCATGGGGCATTGGCAGGGCCAGGAGGCTGTGGCTTGGGAGCGAGGGGCACCAGCAGGGCCAGGAGGCTGTTTCCTAGTTAAATTATTTACTGGCTTGGACTGGCCATTGAT